AGGACGTCACAGTAACGGTAATATGCACTGCCAATACGTCCAACTTTTACGAGGTCCAGACTAACGCGGATGGAACATATGTCATTGACGATGTCAAGGACTGTGACTATACTGTAAGTGTGCCAGCGTCGTTCAACGGCGAGCCTATTGAAGGTTCAGATGTGAAACCGGTCTCCATTTCACCCACCGTTCGAGCTGGAGTTGCCAACTTCCAGTATGTACCTTTGGGTTCAATCTCTGGTCACACGTGTTTTAGCGGCACCTCAACTCCGGTGGTGAATGTCACCGTCACGCTTCGTTGCATCGGCGAGGATCAAGTATCCAGAACGGATGATACCGGCTATTACTATTTTGGTGACCTAGTAGACTGCGATTATGAAGTTTTCGTACCCACTTTAGTTGATCAGTCTGACATGATTCAAGTAAGCCTAGTACAGGGACCGGATGACACCGACGGTACTGAAAGCAGCACCATTGTCACCATCGATAAAGATGGTACCACCGAAAGTGATCCACTGAACGAGGAAGACGTTGATTTCTTCTATAATCTTGTGCCATCTCCGTCGCCCAGTGCCAGTATGTCGCCGTCGCTGTCACCCAGTGTTAGTATGTCGCCGTCCACTACGCCTTCGCCTACACCGTCGGTATTACCCCCCGGATGTGTGACAGGTAGAGTGACAGATCTCGAAGATGGTGGTGCGGGTATACCCAATTTCCCTGTGGAGGTTACGTGCTATCTGGATGAGACCATTGTGTACCAAAAGCAGCTCACCACTGATGGTCTTGGTGAATACAACTTCCCTAATGTTCCCGAAGGTTATGAATGTGAAGTGTCTGTAGACGTCAATAATGTACCCGTTGCGGTGGATGTCAATCTAGACGACGAAGATGCGACTTGCTCAAGAGTGGAGTAAAACGCATACTTTGAGTCCTATACGAGCTCTCAATTCTTATGGCCAGCAAGTGGCCAAATACTTGAATAAAATAAATATCAAAATAATTTAAACTTTGAGCGCATTACTTCATTCGTTTATCGTTGTGACCGCTGGTTAAAAGGACAAGCTAACATCAACAACAGGAGAAAGGGTTAAAACCAAGATATGCTGTGTCGAATGTGATACAGTAGTTCATCGAAACAAGTTCAAGAAAACTTCTTTGGTAAACATACAGACTCTTGCAAGTACTCCGTCTCGTCCTGTTACTTTATCCAACGGATTTTTATCAAGTCACGTTCACCATAGTATGAGGGAAAGAACGGGAACAAGCATTGATATCCGTGGCGGCTGTTATTCATACAAAGTCTGAAGACGATGAGCAAATTATATTACCAGTATACGTGAATGGAATAAAGATAAACGCATTGTTAGAGCCAAGATCTCAAATACATGACAAATCCTCGTGCGTTTAAACGTTCACAACTTCAAGTGATTATTATCTTTAAGGCAACACGGGAAGGACATGAACATGTAATATATGGCAAATGCTCGGGCGTTTAAATGCTCACAGCTTCAAGACGAACGAGAAGAAGTGTGAATGAAAAGTTGGCAAGGTCCAAATAATGGGACACCTCATATCATACGGAAGTATAGAGATAAGTTCAGGTAATGTGGATCTTCTCCAAGATTGGAGAGCTCTACAACCGTAAAGGATATTAACATATTATCAGCCTTTGCGGATTTGAGAGTTTATTCGCTGATGGAGTTGTACAACCGTCGATTTTGTTGCTCTATGGCCACATACGCTTACGTACAGGTAAACTTCGGGCCTAAGGATACAATAGACCTCAGGTACGATTATTTTAGTTGAGAAAAGTCTCTAGTCTGAGAGAACCGAACTGAGTTTTTATTTGTGTTTCTAATTCACTAGACTTAGGTTTCTCTCTCACACGCGGAGTCCCGGGTTAGCTTACCGGTTCTACCGCTATTTTTTCTAATGACTCTAATATCAGGAATATTGGAATCCAAATTCCAAAACGCAATATTTGATGATACTGAGGTTTTAGGATTTGTATTGGCTTTTTGATAATCTGTTCCCAACTTTGTGCTCCATAGCCTGCGTAGGAGTAGCAAGTGACATCTTACAGTACTAGATTATCTAGAGGTTGGTGTTTTTGTACAGGGAAACACTTGCCCCTTTGGGGGCATAAGATGAAAAACCTGGCACCATTATCTATTCTTACATATTACCTATTAATTAATTATACTATGACGGGAGTTCTCAACCACGTTCATCGGAATCAGTCTTGACCGGTGCTCTCGGTTGATCTCACCTCGGCTTAGGAAAACGCATCTCAACGGTGGCTCTACAACCGAGTCTTTCTGTTGGTCCTTATCCCTCTGGTGTGTGGGCGGAGCAAGCTTCAAGAAAAGTGGGGGTGTCCCGTGGTATCAGTGAGACATGCTTAGGTCCCCCGCCTCATGCCCTTTCTGTCGCTCGCTGATCTTTCATCAGTGCTCGTTGCTGTTGGCCTTGATTGCCTTCGTTTGCGTCGAGTGCGTTGACGGTATAGGGTAAGAACACCAGATGCCCATTTATCCAATGCAGTACGTACCCCTGGGATCCATCACCTCGGATGACCGTCCTGTGGTCTACTACCGAGAAGAACTGAGTCTCCTCGGTTGGTTGTATGTGACTATTGGAAGTAAATGCTTCCGGAGTATTGGCCATTTTTTACGAACCCAATTAGCTTATCACTGACCGAGTTAGGACTTTGGGGGCTTTAGTTCCATCAAGGTTACAGACGAAATCCCATTGCCCTCCCTGCATACTATTTCTAATATGGTCCGCCATATAGTGCTGTCATCGTGTTCATTTCACCTTGAAAGGGGACCATGACAAATGGGTGTACATACTTTTTTTTCTCGTTATTTTGGTTATATGCTGCGCACATACTCATCTAAACCCTGCAGACTTGCTAGCAACATGTTGCCTGGCAAAGCCTAAGCATGAACATTTACACACACATTACTCCACCCACTTACGCTTTCTCAGCCACAACAAAATTCAAGTCAAAATTCTGAGGGGTTTCGGGACAGGCAAACCTCACCCTCTGGGGTAAAACTCAATCAGTGGTTTCCGGTCTCAACTACTGACCTATTTGCCATGTGCATTTACTTACACCCACAATTATGCCAAAGTTAATTCTAGTACAATTATACTAGGGGAATCTAAATATAAATAAACAATAACCAATTCTGTTCAAGAGGTTTATAGGTTTCAATGATAAGTAAATAAAGGCTATATATTTTTATATTTAACTTTAGGAGGAGGCTATAGTTTGTGTATTTTTTTGCCTCCTTTTTTATAAGTAGGGTTGTTTCTTACGGTATGAATTGTGAACGAGCTGAGTGAGCCTGGGACTGAGAATATCTATATATGTAATATATATATTTATTCTTAGATATACTACCTGGCTGATTAGAGCAATTTTCATCTATGATGGTAAATTCTCGTCAGCCAGGTTCGTGTCCAATACACTCGTCCGTTAAGGGGCTGAGGGTACGATTACTACATCCAGCAGTAGTCATCAGTCTTTTTCTTGATCTAAAAAGTAAGACCCTTGCTTGTAGAAGTTCAAGGCGCTCGTCAGCATAACAACTACCTCCAAGCTTCGCCCTCGTGAAAAATGAATCAAGGCAACTCACCACCTTTCATCATTGGGAGATACAAATTTTCTTCAGGAGATAACATTTTCCAACTGTGCTGGCCAATCTGCCGTACCAAGTCCCTACTTGGTACCTGAAGGAGAAATCTACTGTCCAGTTTGAACTTAAGGCAGCCATCAACAGATTCTATTTTGTCCTTTGGGGCCTGAAGCAAGCCACGTCATACTGTACTACGGCTGAAGAATTAACACGAGTGTACGCTGCTGTCATCCTGGAGTTAGCTCAATTTGGTCTCGTCGTCTGTCAGTCCAAGCACATGCGTATACACTACGGTGCTGGATTAGCATACGACGTATTAAACCAAGCTCGTGCCGAATATCACAACGGTGGCCGTTGGCAAAGCCATTTGCTGTTGGCAAAGTTGTCTACTGCAGTAAACAAACGAAAGAACGACTTGCTCCTGGCCAAGGTGGCAGGTATGGGTTTTACTATATGTTGTGCTACTTAATGTTTTCGACTCGTTTTTCCTTTCTCGCTTTTTGACCCATAATCAGCTTGAGTGAGCAACTTGCTTCTCACATTGATTTTACCTACGCGGTTAATTACTCTAAGGCGTTGATATCGCCTTGATAGACCGAATCTTACAGCAGGTGCTAGCCTGTACTTATACAGCTGTATTTTTAAGATTCGGTCTATTAAGGACTTTTAGTAGAGTTAGGGATAATATTATTTGTTTCAAAAATGGCAAGTATGTATGATACAATGTATGCACATATGGTATGACTCTCATAGTCGCTGTAGTGGTTCAGGAAAGATTGCTGGGAAGAAGTGGTCAGTAAATTCCCGTTTGAAGCTTGGGTCAAGTGAGTCGACAATGGAAGATATGTGCTGAGTCAAGGTATGCCTCGTGAAAACAGCAACTCTGAGGGATTGTGATGCTGATACATTGCCTATATATAATCCTCTCAGTACTGTTTCCGCCGAAGAGATTTTTTCTTAGTGTTTCGTTGTCGCTCTATTAGAAACTATGGTATGTTTCATTGGGGCGAATCTGAGAGACTCATAAAATCCTATCTTTAGAAAAAATATATAAAAAAGAAAAATACTCTTGATGTCCTTAGGCATTGTCTTAACCAAAAACTTGCCACTTATCAAGAATTACCGACCTAGCCTACATCAGACTGGCACATCTGGTTTGCTGATCGGAGGATCAACTAGGTATCGTTAATAGTCCCTAGGAACATATATTCGGTTGGGCCATCTCGCTACCGAAGTATTCAGATAGAAATAAAGTTGGAAAGTAAATATAGTTCTATTAATAGAATTATACCAACTCTTATGTTTGGTATTTTACTGGGGTCCTTTACTGGCCTTGTCCATATATCTGAGATGTAAAAATTGAAAATGGATTAATTAGTAAGAAACTTAAGTTCCTTGTACTATTAAGAGTACGTTTAGAATTCACGTACTGCTTAAGAGTATGTTTCCAACATAGAATCTAATGTGGAAGCCCGGTTATTACATGTTAGAGAATCGGGCACTTTTGGAACCAAGAAAATATTGGCATCTACAATCGATAATTCAACCGGCAGCACCATTGATGTTTATCACAGACATTGCATCAGCGACATATGCCCAACGCAAACGTCAATCGCGGTAACCATGCATGAACCAACAACTGAAGAACTTCACTTACGTTTGTCACAAACACAAAGTGAGGTGTGTGGCCAGTGGCACTGGCGTATATACCGGAGCCATTAAATCGGCACACAGATCTGTTGTCTCGGAAGCAGACTTTGAACCAAATACATGTGGACGGTTTTGAGTAAAGGGTTACTCCATCTATATCATGAACAAGGAGTAACAATAGAAGAAGATCTTTTCGCCGGGAGTATTACACCAGTCCGACATATTGCTCCTAAATTTAGAATCATCATGCGTTTCACCGCCGTTGGGACAAGAAATGTTACTTAATATTCCCACCAGAACCACTGGCAAGGCGGATATTAGAGCTATTGGATGCGTAGCTGACAAGAGCAATAGTAATAGTACTAATATGGCATTCAGTAATCTGGAGGGGCAATTCGATGTCACACGCAGAAGATAAGTAAATTTTCCCTCTCGAGACAATACATTATCCGACATCTATTGCTACGTCACTCGACGAGTCGCGACGACCGTGAAGGTGTGCAGCGGTCCTCTACAACCCCAAGATTTACTCCTTATAGATCATTCGACCACAGAAGCTCGATTATGATCAGGTGATATCGGCAACACGGCCGCTAGACGCTACCAAACATCGATACATCTGTGTCAGCGTTACGCAGATTCAAAGGGGCGGAATTACTTGATACCCCCTCAACCATCACAGCATTTACTGAGGTTTTCTTC